CTCACCGAAGACATCATGATGTTCTCGCAGTCTGTGGCACATCTCTACTCCAACCTAACCAAGCCCATCCTGGACGTCATGCTCACCTCCTACACCCTCATCCGCACGGCGCGATCCCGGGGCGCCAACCCCATCGGGCCCACGGTCCTGGCCGGGCTTGTCGTCTACGCAACGGCACGCGTGCTCAAAGCCTGCTCGCCCAAGTTTGGCAAGCTGGTGGCTGAGGAGGCTCACAAGAAGGGCTACCTGCGCTTCATGCATTCACGCATCATTGCCAACGTGGAAGAGATCGCCTTTTACCGAGGGCACAAGGTAAGGAGGAGGGAAATGGAAGGGCAGTGGGGCCACTTTTACGGTGCCAGAGCCGACCCACTCTTCCCCCTGCTGCCCTCCCCAAGCGCTTTGGGTCCCTCTGACATTTAAACCTGTTCACAGCGAGCACTTCCCGTTTCTTAGGAAAGCGCCGTCTCACAGGCGGTGTCTGGGGGAAGCTGACCGTAGTTCCCCTGTGCTCTGACAATGTTCCTGTTTTGCAGCTGGATCCTATGCTTTTCTAGAGCTAATCTCCGTTATTGTCATTTCCCGCTGCCCCAGTCCATTCTGCTTAACATTTCCAGGCTTTTTTTTTTTTTTTTACCCGTGTTTATGAACCACCAGATTTGATGCTGCAGAAATAGAAACGAGGGCACACCAGAAAGTCTAGGGGAAAACTCTGTGATAGCACAGAAAGCACTACAACCTTTGACACTCTTTTACATAGCTAAGCAAAGATGTAGTCATCAGAGTCTTAAAATAGCTTAAGTACAGTACTTCAGCAGTCACAGTTACATAAACTAATGGCTTGTTTTAAAGCCACCTTATTAAAGGAACTCTTTATATGTTTATAAGTGAATTTTGGCTTTAACACCTTTCAAACACAATTTGGAAAAAAAGAGTTGTTTCATGTAAGGTGAAAATGAAAGCTATAAACCAGCCCAAACTATTACTCTTTCAGTCCTAGAAATGATTATATAATGTACATTGTTTATTTTGATAGAAGCAATCATTCTCAAAAGCTGCCTATAGTAATGTTTTAAGTGCAGCCGAATTAAACATTTTTCAATTCCCAAATACAATGGCTTGAACTGAATGCAGTATATGTCATATTGGCTTGCAACTGTCTTTGGCTTGTTAAACCTCTTGAGGTGGTTCTCGTTTCCTCCAGACTGCCTGCAAAAACAAACAGCTTTGCGCCTCAGGGATCACCTTTGCAACTTTAAGTCATCGGAGATAATTGATCCCCAAACGCTTTCCAATATGAGGAGTTTCAGGTGCTGTGAGACTCTACAGCTGCAGCCTTATCAAAAGGATGTGGAATCAATCTTATTTGCGTTGTTAGAATCAGCTATTACGACTGCCTTGTATGTTCTTGTATATGTCAGAGATCTTAAAAGAGCTGGAAACCTGCCAGTGTGCTATCGAGGGATGATGGTGTAAATAGGAACCAGGTCCACTGGCTTGCATGAAGCTGTACGTTTTTGCTGGGAGACTGCAGCACTGTGAAAATAAAAGTACCACGCAGCAGGTGTGACTCAGAAGTCGCAGCTCTAAGGGCCCATTATTTCATGCACGTATGTGGATGGGTCTTGTATGACTTGTGCATCTTTGTTGCATTGTGTAAATGTTTTATTTTTTAACTGTAGGTAGAAATGAAGCAACTGCAAAAAAGCTACAAGGCTTTGGCAGATCAGATGAATCTCATTTTGTCCAAACGTTTATGGTACATCATGATAGAGCAGTTCCTGATGAAGTATGTCTGGAGTAGCTGTGGTATGATTATGGTTGCTGTGCCCATCATCACCGCAACAGGATTTGCAGATGGCGGTAATGCTGTTTTTTTTTTACTTAATTTCAAAATGGTTCTTTAAGGTTACATCCTCAAAAGATTGTACTTCCCCTGAATGCCATTCATATTTATTTATTATTCACAAGCTTTATTACAATGTCCATGTCTTGTGCATAACTTTCAAGCAGAGCAAGTCAGCTGAGGAAAGAGCAGCGCAGAAGATCTAACTTTGATGATAAGCCTGATAAACAACACAAATTCAGGATTTAGAGGATCCTTGTGTCACATGAGATTATACTGATAATTGCAGTCCTTTTCCACTGGCTACTGCTGGGATGTCAGGCTGGTTTTAGTAGCAACACCCACTACTTTACAGAGTGATACTGTTAACTTTCCTAGAGTGCTTATCTCCTCCTTCCATAAACCATAATGTAATTATAGGTAATTATTCTCTTACGTGTTGACCTGTTATGAACCGCTGTTTTTCTGAGACTCCCTGGGACAAGTTGAAGTTCAGATTCCAGACTTTGATAGTGTAATTTTTGACATCCTATGACTACTTCACAGGAAGTGAAATGAGACTCAAGTTGTGTTGTTATTGTAGATGCTGTTAAAAAAAAGAAAAAAGTCAGAAAGAAAGGGGAGGTAGTGAAAGGAAGCAGGGAAATTTGCCTTGATGAGTATCCTTATGCACAATTAGAGCCATGTTATAAATTCCGTAGGATTCTTTAAGCACAAATCTTGCAATGTCTACAGAGGGATCTGTTCTAATTGGGTTCGTTTAATGAGGAATGAGTGAATTCTTTTCCATGCAGGTCTTGGTAGTTATATTCCAAATCTGGGCTGTCCACCTAGACAAGCTTGGTTTGACCAGCCAGATGACTTGGTGCAGCCCTCCCCATGCTGTAGTTTATTTGTGGTTGTGTCAGTCCATGGCTGGGGGTTTGGCTGCCTGTGCCGCTGCCCATCACGTGGCTCAGGAGGGCACTATATCAAGACCCTGGCCGGTCTTCAAAACTTCAAAAATATCCAGAGGTCCTATTCCTGACAGAAGAGTTTGTACAAAGCCATTTCACCTCACCGTGAAGGTCATCAGCACAACAGAAAAAGTGCTAAGAGTCTCTCTGCTAAGACAGGAATGAGTACAGTCAAGAAATATTGTAAATATCTCCTTGGTATTATGGCATAAATTAAAAAAACACTCATATTCATGCTAAACTACTTAACTTTCCTGTTACTCATGAGTGTTCTTCTGATAAAATCTTTTCAAATATGGGAGAAGAGAAAAGACGCAGCGATGGCTCATGTCGTAAAGCAGAAGAATATTTGTCACCAGCAACCTAAACTTAGGGCACGGGGCTTACAGTGGAGACCCAAGGCGTACTGTGATGATGGATTGCAAACATAATACTGACAAATCAATGCTGTCAAGCCCAGTTCAAAGTGTAACAGGTATTCAAAGAATCAAGCAGGCCTAATCTTAACCATTGACTTGCTTGGGAAAACAGTGCTTTGTGCCTCAGCAGGTCGAATGCAAGTTTGTTCATATCCGAAGGAAGAGATGGTGAGTTTATTACTTTAGGAGAAATCGCCACAATCAGGAGTATCACAAAACTGGTACCATGACCAAACCTGAGACGAAAGGTATAGAGCAGGAGATTTTGTACACTTCTTCGGGGAAGTAAAAGAAAAAAAAATCCTGCAAGAAAAAGAAAAAAGAAACTTCTAAGATAGTGATATTTCTGACGGAAATTAGCTAATTCTGTTTTGTATTTCAGGGGAGAAATTAACTGGCAAAGCCAAAATTCCAATTTGATAACATTTCTCATTCTTTTAGTATGAAACCCTTGGTGTTCCAAATGTCACATCTCTCATAAGTTTGTGATGTTTATTTTTGGAAGGGAGACTTTGATTTCTCTAGATACAGTGAATACTTATCTTTGTTTAGAAAACCAGTAGGACGATCAATTACATAAATGAAGATGAGAAGGGAAATGTTAGATTCTGTGTGACACAGAGACAGTCTGTCTGCACTGTTACAATGTACCACTTCTTCAAACACAGGAGATCAGCTATATGAAAATTGTTTTAGATGGAAAATTCAAGAACAGTAGCTCTGGTGGATTAGGCACATAATATAAGGGCTTCTGTTTTGCTGCACTGAAATGCTCATAAATTGTATATAATTTTAATTATTCAAATACCCTTAAAATGACTGATCCAGTGGTTTGTAGACATCTCTTAACTCTTGCTAGATGAGCTAGCCTGGGTGCTGGAAGCAGCTGTCAGTAAATTCTGTGTTTATATACAGGAGCAGTGCCACATTAGTGTAGTTAAACCATACCTGATTCCTAAATGATATAACTGGTGGTTCTACCTAGCATGGGCTGCATGAGCTATAATCCCAAGAAGATCAGCAAAAACTGTTTCTCTGAGAAGTAACAAACAAATTTCTCTTTAGTTTTCATTAATGAATTAACTGAATGCTCCCTGTCGCCTAAGTTTATTCTTCTTGGAGTGGAAGTGACTTTTAAAAATAAATGAGAACTACATGAGCAACAATTTTGTAATGTCTTCCCTTTCAAGAGATTTTCTTCCTTTTTTTTTTAAGAAAAGAATCATGCCTTGTGTGTCTCAGGTGGCTAGATTGCATGCAACTAGTGGACACTGTACTGATGTTCTATAATTTAAACTAAAAAATTGGAATGTATGTTTCAATTAAAATTGTTATTCCTTCTGGCCTCATGCTTTTTATAACATATAGATGGTGTGTGTGTATATATATGCAGAACTATGATGTTAGAGTTTAAAAAAAGTTTTTCCTAAATTATCCGTAGTGTATTTCCATGATTCAGATGTAATTATGTATGGATACCTATATGGATATGTAAATGAAAGAAAAAATAACATTTAGATTTAACTAATAGAGGCAGAAAGATACGTCTGGCTTTGATACTGCATGTAGATTTCTAGACGCCAGATTTCTAGAATCTGATCACATCAGGGAGGCGAGAAAGTTAGCAAATAAAAGAATAGTTTGATAGACTTTTGCATTGCTTCACTTAGCTCATAAAATTTACAGTTGCATAACACCTGCAGGGAATTCCTCGCAGATTTTCTTGACCGTCAGCACTGTGCAAACATCACAGAGGATGTTAAGAACAGTTGCTAATACAGGAGTTGCCACACTGGATCCACCAAATACCCTGCCTAGCTTGATGGCTTACAGCAGCTTAGCTGTAAAAAAACTTTACAAACTTAAGAAAAATAAATAAATAATCTGCAAACCCTGCTCTGCAATAGACTTAAGCAATATATAAAGATATATGTAAAGTTATGTGGTGCAGAAAACTCTTGAGACCTTTCATTCTAAATCTTGTGTAAGAAAATTCTTTAAGAGCCAACACATTGTTTTCTTCTTTTTTGTAGATGCAACGATTAGCACTGAAACAACATTTAGTCTTAAAATGTTTAGCTACTTCTTTTTAAAGCTTGATTCTTTCAAGAAGCAGACCTTGCAACTTGTCTATGCTTATAAGTCACATGGTAGCAAGTGTATATGTAGATATGTTAAAAATAAACATATGTTCTGTAATTTTCGCTGCTGTTTTCTCCTTGCCTGATATTGCTGACATGCTCCTATGAGACAACTCTTTCTTTGGAGCAAGAGTTTTCTTGTTAGTAGGATATGGGGGCATAAACAAAGCATCACAACTTTATTCTGAGGTGAAATGAAGAGACAAACTGTTGTGAAAGAGAGGTAGCCTACTTAAGCCATGCCTTTGATAATAAAAGAGCTTGTTGCTTTCTTATATAAATATAATCATGTTGCCAGATTTCCATCAATATGTTTCCTTCTACATGAGGTCAGTAAATAAGTGAGGCTGAAAATGACTGAGTGCAAAAGCAGTAAAAATTATATTTAAAATCTTTTCAAATAATTGCTTAGGTTTCATTTTTTTTCATATTCTGAAAAATTTAGGTTGAATAATGATATATTAAAAGGAAAATTATCCAGGTAGACAGACAGTATAAAAGAGGAGGATGTTTTGCATAAGAAGAAAAATTCTATATACTCCTACTTATTCTTTATTACCAAGCTATCTATGCTAGTTACATGCACAAGGTTGTCTTCGTAGAGTTAACTGTTTCTTAATTTAAAAGCCGCTCTGTAATGGCTCACATTCTAATTGTAATTTAATTTGTAGAGATTATTTTCCGAAGAATATTTAAACAGAAAACTTTTTCTACTTTTAGAATTGGAAGATGGCCAGAAACAAGCAATGGTTAGTGAAAGAACAGAAGCTTTTACTACATCACGAAACTTGCTGATCTCTGGAGCAGATGCTATTGAAAGGATTATGTCTTCATACAAAGAGGTACTGTACATCTGTCATGCATGAAACAGAAGAGAAAAAAAGTGAAACAGAATTTACATTTAATACAAAGCATAAAAGATAAAAAAGTGCAATGTCAAAAGGCAAATTTTATTGCAACTAAATCCATGGAGATCTTTGGACTGGTAGTTTGATCTTTAGAGTTAAGTCCACAAAGAGTCTAAAGTATGCACCTGCCAGAATGGTGCAACACGTAAATGTCATTTTTAATACTTGTTCAGGAGCCATCAGAGAGTGATAGGTGTTCCTGGAATGTGAATGGTAAAGGTTCAAATTCCTCCTCTGTGTGGAGCACAGACCTGAATTCAGGCTGTCTGCCTGCAATGTATTGGGACTTTTCTGTGGGAAGTGCCATAGAATCACAGAAGGGTTTGAGTTGAAAGGGACCTTTAAAGGTCACCTAGTCCAACCTCCCTGCAGTGAGCAGAGACATCTTTAAGTAGATCCGGTTGCTCTGTCCAACCTGGCCTTGAATGTCTCCAGGGATTGGGGCATCTACCACCTCTCTGGGCAACGTTTTCCGGTCATGTTTTGTATGAAGTACAAACTGAGGTGAATCCTTACTTCCTGGCCACCTAAACTGTAAGGCTGTTTTCAGTATCTTTTGAACCTGTTCAATTGTAAGTAATTTTGCAAAGCAGAGACATTTTTGCAGGAAAAAAATCCATCTTGGGGCAGCAGGTAGTTCATCTGGCACATCATCTGGCAGAGTAGTTCAGGTAGTTCATCTGGCAGGGATGTTCATCTGGCACATCAGAGATGCTTTTTGGGTCCTTACCCAAATTCCAGTAAAGTTGGATTTTCGTCTGTGGCCTCTCTTGAGGATTTCTCTGGCTCTTGGCTGTTAAGCAAAAGAAAAGTGAGCCGATGCTGTTATTCCTCTCAGCATTTCCTTCTGAATGTTGGTTCTGCATTTGTTAATTGGTTTTTGCTCGTCCCTTTGGTGGGGACCTCTTTTCTCAGTGCTGCACAAGGAGGCATGCATTAGCAGGCAGCTAATCAAACACTATGGATTCTCTTATTTGGAATCCAACCATGATAGATACAGCTTTGTAAATTGGAGGAGGAGAGGTAGTTTGGTGCCTTCAGATATGGACTCTTGACAAAAGCTGGGGTCTGTGCTTTTTTCAAAATGAGTTCATCTAATGGACTGTGATTTTGACCTCTGCTCCTTTATCTGTTCCTCTGTTTGCCCTCTGCTCTAAAGGTACTGCCAGATAACCTATTATACACTGGTGTAATTTCTATTTTATTTTCAACATTTAAGTCATTTATGTAATGTAAATGGGGACTTACAGACATTATGGTTTTATATTTTGGAAACAAAAATACCCACAAAGTGGTAGGAACAACTGAACAAACTCACTTTGTTTAGAACATGGTGAGATTTTAATCCAGACAGCATGAGACCAAAATCCAGCTCTACGAATTTCCATCTTAATATTGCATTTATTCCTGTCTTTGAGAGACACTGCAGTACTTTAACCTCATGGTCATTCCCATTTCATGATTCAGGCAGCTTCCAAAGGACAGTGTGTTTCAATCCACTTCAAGTGGTAGTGAAGTTCCAGTTCTTGCCCAGTTGATCCACCAAAGCGGCCTCCTTCCAGTCATTGTAAATCAGTGTGTGGATGTGGTGGGCTTAACTTTTCTTTGCAGGTCAGTAGTTCAGATGGTAGTGGTTACCATTTTGACAGAGCCAGTTCGTAGAGTCATGGTTTAGAAACTTACTGCAAGTTGTGTTTCTTCTGGGGCACAGTTGATAACAAGTTTTGTGCATCACATGCAGGATTCTCTCCACCACATGTCACCGCTGATGCTGTGCAGAGCGCTCAGTCCTGGCACGAGCTCCCGCTGGAGTTGCTGGAAAGACTCCAGTGTGGAGAGTGATGTTACAGCTCCCGTGTGCTACCGACTGCCTCAAGTGGTGCCAGCCCACTGCTTTTCACAGCTCTTAATGCAATTACCAATAGTGCAAACCAGTGTACGTGGAGCTGAAACACTGAGTGATTAAACTGAGGTTTTTGAGACGTTGTGTACTTGTTAAACTCCAGTACAGTGATGATCATGTGACCAGGACTAGCATTCACTTCTGAATCTGGCATAAACAGTGAAATTTGTAGAAGATTTTATATTGGAATTATGTGTGCCATAGCAGGTGAACGTGGGGTGTATGTGTTTATCCACAGAAAGCTAATGAATTTATACTCTTGAACTCATATTCTTGCTATTCTTGTCTTGCTGTCTCCATTTAGTATAAAAATTCATCCTTTTAAAACTATTCGATAAAACTTTTATAATAAGATCTTTGGGTTTAATTTTTCGCTGCCAGCAGATGGAGGCAGATCTTTGGGAGCTCTTGGTGATGTCGCTGCCCATGAGTAGAAGTTATCACGTTCAGCGATCTGTTGTTTCTGTCTTCACTAGTGTGACAAAAAGACATCAAAAAAAGGAGAAAGCTTTTTAAGAGACCTCACCATCTTAAAAACGCCTGATTCTAATCCAAGATCTCAGATTTAGCTCTGGTACTCTAGCATGCAGTTGACAGAAGAGTAATTTCTTTTTTGTACTGTATTTTATATTAGGATGCTCCAGTGCTGCCTGTTTTGCACAGAAAAACACACCTTTCCCGAAGGAGTTTTGAGGAATATAGGGAAGTAAACATAAATAATTATAGATGCCTGTTTTTCTCACTTCTGTGGGCATGCATTTTGCTGTCAGATGTAGAGATTGTGTTTTTCTCTTGTGTGATGGACTTTCTGTTTTCAGATACGCTAATAGCTGTTTTCTGTTTGTTGAAGACTACTGATCCATGGAAAAGAGCAGTCTCTGCAAGATCTTCATTTACTGGACCTATCATAACTTACATTTGGCTGAAATCTGTCCGCTGGCTGGTCGGAGCTGTGGGTGGCACATGAGTTAGCACAGAATCTCAAGGAATGAAAATTCCTAGGCGTCAAAAGACTCATCGTTGATCCTTCCAGAATAGCATTTGACAATCACAGACTCAGAATAGCTGGAAATGTTTTTCATGAATCTTTGACCAAACATTTTGTTTGTAGAATTTGTGAAGTAGAACTAAAATGAGGTATTTGTTGTTTCTCAGGTTACTGAGCTCGCAGGCTACACCGCCCGTGTCTACAACATGTTTTCAGTCTTTGATGAGGTGAAGAGAGGCATCTACAAAAGAACTGCTGTCACTCAAGTGTCTGAAAACAATAGCAAGAATGGAGGTAAAGCAGAATTCCACATCGGTGGGCCCTTAGAAATCAAAGGTAATTAATTCCTACTTGTATGTATTTCCCTGTGTGTGGCATCGGTGCAGTGGGACACGAGGCAAACAGAGGTTTTGTTTCTACAACAAATCGGCGTCTCGGCCTTAATACCTCAGAGACCATGTTGTCTTCTCTTTCAACCTCCTGCTATTTTGCAGGCTGTCTAATACACAAAATTGCTCAAATATTTTCTGTAAAAAGCTTTAAATGAAAAAGGCGTTTCCACTAGACTGTTGTGTTGATGTTACTATTCTTGTATGGACAGTGCTTTCCATGAACACTTCATTTTTTTCAGAAAATTGAGACTGCAACATTTTGACCTTCAAACACTTTTTGACAAAAACACTGTTTTGTTTTCTGTGACTAAAAATCAACCTTTGCTCAGTTTTTCATAGTTCAGTGGGAGTTTTCAATTGAAAATGGGCTGACTGTACCCTAACCCTTACCTCCCAAATGATCTGATCAATAGATGCCTTATCCCTATCCTATATCTTTCTTGTGCCACTGTCTTTCTTTCTCCACCCTCCCCAAAGCATTTTCTGTTTACATCATTTCTTACTGTGATCAATTCTGTGCCACCGCTCTCTTCCTCTTGCACCCAGATTCTCGCTGAGGTACTTAAGGTCAACTTTTGCAATGGGCTTTTCTCAATTTTCCCAACAGACCACTTCTGCGTCTCCCCTCTGTGGTATTGAAAAGCCTCATTCCCTTCCTTTGGCTTCTGAAAACTTAAATCTCGATAGAGTTGAAAGCAGCAAAGTGTTCTTTATGAAATAACTTCTTTCATCAATTGCAACAGTGCTGCCCTTCAGCACGGATTTCTCCAAGGTCTTCTGACAAGGTTCTTCATAACAAACAGTCTGATGCAGCATGGTGGATAGCTGTGGAAACAGCTGATGTCTTAATCTTGGAATCACAGCATGTCTTAGGTTGGAATGGACCTTAGAGATCATCTGATCCAACTCCCCTGCCACAGGCAGGGCTACCCTTAACTAGACCAGATTGCTCAAGGCCTCACCCAGCCTGGTCTTGAACATCTCCAGGGAGGGGGCATCCACAACCTCTCTGGGAAATCTGCTCTAGATGCTTACCAGCCTCGTACTGAAGAATTTCTTCCTAAGATCCAATCTAAACCTATTCTCCTTCAATTTAAATCCATTTCATCTTGTCCTATTGCTGGACACTCCTGTAAAAAGTCCCTCCCCAGCCTTCCTGTAGGTTCCTTTCAGGTAGTGGGAGGCAGTTATAAGGTCCTCCTGGAGTCTTCTTTTCTCCAGCAGATGTTGTAGATCTTGGTAATATTTGGCTGACATGTAAAGAAATGGCATTTTATAACTTACATTTTGTCTGTACAACAGAAAAGGTTTGTAGTTCTTGGAGCACCAAAGTAATTCGGGGGCTCTTTTTAGACAACTGTGTTTTAAAAACAAAGCCAAATACAGCTTAGATATGCAAGCATACTGTTCATGCTCCCTTTTGCTCTAGTATAATTATACTCCACTTCCTTTTTTCTCTGCAGCCTTTTCCCAAGATTTGATTCCGCTACAGTCACACATTTCATCCAACCTGAATTCCTCCTAAGTAGTGGTGACGAGTGTTTGCTCCTGAGTGGTTGTAGGCTCTCAGAGGCAGCTGGCCAAGACCAAGCATTGTGCACAAGGACTTAAGTAGAATTTAGGCCAGATGAATCTAGGCCACAGGCTCCACACATTTTATGACAAGTGCCATTGTAGTACTGTTTTTTACTCCCTCCTGCCAGAGTGGATTTGTATGTGAATAAAAGTACGTGTGCTCACATACGTATATGTGCCTACATTGCTAGAAAAGAAAAATGCCCCAAAGGCTCTTTGAACACATACTTAATTCCTTTTGAAGCATCCAATATAAGCTTAGGTAACTAAGGATGTCTGTTTTCTGACTTGCATTTACTGTTGTTAGTAACAGCACTGTGAAGATAAGAAAACTGGAATACTTTTAACAGATAATAATATTGTCTTACGTATAGTTTATCTCATAATTCAGAATTTTAGAGTTGAAATAGAATTTTGTACAAATACTGTCAAATTGTGTTTCTGATTGCACACAAATCTGCTTTAAAAGCATGCTAAAGTTACAAGCAAACACTGAAGTTAGTAAATGAGACTTAAGTTTACTTAATACTTACTTAGCTACTATTTTTTGTCATAGATTTATTTTAACTAGAATTTCTCCACTGTGTCCGAGTAAATATTTTTAACAGCAAAACACTTGCGTTTTCCATAATCTCATGCTGGATGCTACAGAACTGTTTTAAATAAAACTTATTTTAGGATAAAAAGAATGCTTGAGCTGATACATGGCACCGAAATTTTGTGTCCATATTGTTAGAGTTTGACAAAGTCGTAAGCAGTTGAATAAAGAACCTCTTAACAGAAGCTGTAAAACTAACCTTAACTGAAGGAAATGCTACCAGATCCTTTTGTAATAAGCTCAAATTTTCCTTAGTTCAATTTTTGTTTGTTAGATCAGTGTAAGTTATAACATAAGCAGCCTTCTAATACAAAGAGAGATCTCTTAAGATTCTGATTGGACACAAGAGGGAAATTTTATCACAATGACAACAATCAGCCATTGGAATGATCTCCCCAGCGACGTTCCCTGGGGTTTCCCCAACATTGGACACTTTGAAGATCCAGCTGGACGCGTGCTGGGCCATCTTGTCTAAACTGTGCTCTTGCCAAGAAAGGTTGGACCAGGTGATCCTCGAGGTCCCTTCCAGCCTGGTAGTCTATGGTTCTGTGAGTCTGTGATTCTCTTTCCTTTGCATCTTATCTGTAAACGTTATTTCTGATATTTGTCTAGAAGCCCAACCGTTTGGGTTCTGTTAGAGAAGCCCATTAACAGGCAACTGAGAAGTTAGAGTTGATTTCTTTTTTTTACTGTTTCCAGAAGAATTTATTTCAAAGTCCTTGTGTTTCAAAGTATCCAAATGTCTAGTTGAGATTGTATACTTAAACTTGCCAGAAATCCAAATAGTGAAAGTGTTGGAGTGAAATGTTATATGGGTTTCCACGAATTCTTACAAAACACATTTACAGTGTCTGTGGCTTCGAAAAGAGATGGAAGCGAGCCATTAGATGTTTTCTCCTTTGCTCTCGTTGCTGGAGGAGACTGAACTGGGCTCCACATTTCAGAACTGGTAGTGAAAGTAGATTCCATTTTCTAATTAAATTCTCAAGAGAAGATAAACTCGTCTGCCTGTGGCTATGGTGGTCTTTGAACTTTTTTACTGGTTAATACTGACTGACTGTTTAAAACAAAATACCGTAAATACAGATAGAATGTGAATAAACATGCCTTTATAGTGCATTATATATTTATGATGCACACTGTGCATTACATTTGTGATTGAATTTAGGATTCATTGCACACTCTTGGCTGCTGCTGACAGTGTGTTTCTGACAAGCTAAGATTCATTATCCTGTTTTTCCACTAGAGGAACGTGGAGCACGTAAAATAGTTGTTTGAAACTCGCCAATTTATACCTCTCAGCCATGCACGCTGAGAGTGTCACGCATCATTGCTTAATGGAAGATCTCACAAACTAATTACTGTTACTCTTTGTCTTTTTAGGGAAAGTTATTGATGTTGATAATGGAATTATTTGTGAAAATGTTCCTATTATTACTCCGAATGGCGATGTGGTGGTTTCCAGACTAAACTTCCAAGTAAGATGATATGCAAGAATCTTCTGATTGTTGTCATCACATTAATATAAACAGCACAGAATTCATGTACCTTATGTTAAGTACTTGGAGGAGCATATGGATAAAAGGGGAAGTCCAGAAAGGTAGGCATAGTAGCTCAATAGAGGCAGACATACGTAGTTTATCCTGCAAAGAAAACAGAAGAGAGGATTTCTGGTGCTGTTGCCAGGTGAAAAAATGACCTGAGATTTTCAAAGGTGTATATGGGAGTCTGCATCTGTCTTTACTTAATTTCGATGAAATTGGGATGTTTTACTCACATAGGCTCCTTTAAAAGTCTGGGTTCACAGCAACAGTGAAAAAACTGACTCTAGTTTTGCCTGATCACCACAAAGAGCAGTACTAATATTTGACAGCATAGTATACAAGCCCAACCACATAGTAAAACCTTGTACTGTTTTTGAAAAGCTATTCCCGATACCACTCAGTACGTGCTCACAGCTTTAATGGATGACCTTTACTGAATTGCTCCCATATATGTCCTGATCTTATGTTCCAGTGCAGATATTATTATGTTAAAAAATAGTTGAAGTTGTCGGAACACTAACATGAATAGTTCAAGCAGGTCCTTTAATTTAGGCAAAGCAGAATGTTCCATTTGCCACTTTTTTGGTATAGGAGTTAGCAACTAGGAGGACAGGGTCCTAGCTATTGCAAAACTTGCAGTGGCTTCAGTGGAGGAGTTTCAGATTTGTAAAATTACAACTTCGTGGTCAAAGAGACAGTTACATTTATTCATTTGCCTCAAGAGACAAAACCAGAAAATGTAGTCAATATATTTATATAAAGCATAGACAATGACATTGTAATAATGTGTAAACATGCACTTGTATGTGCACAAGGTAGTATTCAAATGAGTAAAAACAAGTGCATCACAGCCAAAATAACACTGGTAATTAAGTGGGAAAAGGCAATGTGAAGTAAATTTTCCAAATCATTCGATCAGCCTGTATTAACAACACTGCTCTGTATGCTCTGAACACCTTTGGACCTCATCTGTGTAAGAATAACTGATCCAGACTGTGGTGTATTGGCACGTGATCTAATCAGTGTAGGTTATAGAGATACTCAAGCATTATAGAAATTATCTTCATTATTTCAGCCCTTATACTGTATGTAATTCCACTGTTTCCAGAATAGTTACATAAATATGTGCAGATAATTAATGAAATGAGTTGATAATTTGATATAAATTCTTATGTAACTCTGTCTAAGGGTCTTAGAGTATCTTGTGCCACACACACTGCATAGTGACATCTTTGTGTTTTCATTGATATTGTAGGTCCAGGAGGGGATGAATCTTTTAATCACTGGACCCAATGGCTGTGGAAAGAGTTCGCTCTTCAGAATTTTAAGTGGTTTATGGCCTGTGTATGAAGGAGTTCTCTACAAACCCCCTCCGCAGCACATGTTTTATATACCGCAAAGGTATGGGATTGCTCAAGGCGATACTTTTTTTCTCATTACCTGAATTTTGACCCTGTTTCTCTCATTTTCAATCTGTGATCTGTACAGCCAAGTGAAAAGGTTGGTAAGCACAACCTCAGCTGTGTGGAAAGTGCTAAAAAATAAAGATCTCTTCTCACTGATGATGCAGATCTTCAGTCATGATGGAGCCTGTGCTGCCCTGATGGCTGAAGTCCTGGATAATTGGGATCATGGGAACAGACTAGAGTCGGAAAGAAATATGAAACAGACCTAGTAGATCTTAATTCTGATTTCACTTTAAAACCAAAGACCATAACAAGTGAGAGTGTTTTGGATCCTAAATGTTGAATTGTTTAAAATAATTTTCAAACTTCAACTTAAAGTATTATCTGCAAATTGCCTTTTTAGTAATATGTGCTTATTTTTGTAAGGGAAACATGGCTTTCTTTGTGCTTCGTTTGTGTTCTGATTTGCTGTTGGACTCCAAGAAAATAATTTAATGCAATTGATTCTAGAGTATCTCCTTTGGGATTTCTAAGTAGGCTGTTTTGCAAAAGCAAAATCAAACACTGAGAATCTGTGCTTGCTTTCTGTAGTTTGTTTCTTCCCATGGGCAAAAAAAAGCATTCGTGTTACAGTTTGTAGTCATATTGAAAAAGTATAAGCTATTAAGCTGAATGAAAATTATTAACTGATGTGTACATTGTCTTTTTAGTGCAGGTGAAAGTAACAAAGAACACTTATCTCTAATTTTTTCAAATATTTGTATAATTTATTGCTAGCCATTGTCATTTTTCTGAGCCACTCAGGGATTTTGTTCAGGAATTCAGAGCAAAATGCTTTATTAAATGTTTCTCAAACAATATTTCAGAATTCTCATTGTGCGGGATATTCTTAAAATCAATTTTATTCTTAGGCAGAACAAAAGCTATTCTTAAATGCTTTTTTTCTTGCAGAAAATCTTGAGTTTCAGCCAGTTCTGTCCTCTGTGTGATCCCAGCGCCTTCTCAGATCAGCACCTGAGGCTGGCTTGCCTGTAGCCCTTCCCCTTTACTTATGGCGCCTTTATTCTGTGAAAGCAAACAGGTTCACGTTTTGTCCCAGCAGATTTGCTAAGGTGCTGATTGAGGGGATTGAATCACATTGGATGGATTTTCATTTCCATAAACATGGTTCTTTGTCAGGTGCTGCCCCTAACTTTGCAGTGCTGGGGGAGTTTGTCCAGCAGACCTCTTCTTCAGAACATTTCAAAGCTTTTTGGTCAGAAACCAAGACTCAGCCAGAATCTTTGCAGCCCTCTGTGACTGAAACCAGCTTTGCAGTGTGCCCTGAAGGTATTGCTCATACACAGTCCAGCCTCACGGCATCCCCCAGGAGAAAGGGTGCTGCCGTGATGTCTTTGGGACATCCAAGTGACATTGCTCTGGCTCAGCTCTGTGTGATCTCTGCACTCCTGAAGGATTTTTTAGGCAACACAGAGGAATTCCCATCTCAGAGGAGAGCAGTGTCTGAGTAAATGTGGCAACAGTGAGTGACGGAGAGGGCTCTTCTGCGAAACCTTGATTGTGCCTGAAGATTTTGAAGTCTGATTTGGGGGAGAGTTCAGCTGTGTCGGTATTTGGAGAGGGATTTGTATTTGGAAAGGGACTGTGAGTCGTGACGGGATTTGTGGGTGATTGTGGCTGAAGGAGTAGGACAGCAATCAATCAGATGTTTTTGTTAGGATGTCCTCGAGGATCCTGAGTTCCTTTTTTGCCCAACATGTTTGTTCTTTGGGCTTACAGACTCTCAGATGAATATCTGTGAAGGACTTGAAGGGGATTTCAGTTTTAAATTGAAATTTAGACATTTCCGGAGGAGATTTGCAACAGATCTGCTGGATTGCCTTATGTGGTCCAGGCATTTGGTTGCTGCCTGTAATCCATTTCTGAGTGTTTTAACAGTTCATTTATTTATGGCCTAAATAAAGTACACATTCAGTTGTGTTGTTTTTTTTTTAATCTGTCCCTGGCTCTAGAATGCATTTGGAATTCTGTAGTGGTTTGTAAATAGTTCTGAAGTCCTGAAATTGAAGCAGCTTGTCTTGGAAGGTCCTGCTGGTGCAACCATTTTGCTTATTAACCCTGTGCAAATTGCTGCTCAGTCAGGATTATCTTCTGTTTATTTTTTTAGACATAATTCTAAAATTTCAGATTGGAAAAGATGGTGCCCTGCCTGTATTTCATCACATATATATTTTAACATAACTGTAGGGACTAACTGAAAGGATCTGGGAGGTGTTAGAACAGTATTGCCTGGATTCAGCCTACCTCACCCTTTTGTCTGGTAGGTAGGGGAAAACTAAGGTATAACAGAAGGCTCTTGAATTGGTGACTGTCTGTCAGAGCAGTGAGTTGAAATGACATTACTGTGTCTAAGCGTATATGTTATGTCTCTGGTCTAAGAACATGGGAGATGGCTCTCCATGAGTGGACGCAGTTACCATTGAGCCTGGTAAGAACTTACTCCTGCGTGCCTGTGGCTGAATTAATTCTGCATCAGCCCTCTTTGAGTCAAATGTGGAAACCTCGTCTGCACACAGGGAATGGTGGAGAATACAGTGACCACTAAGGAACAAAATACCCCACAGTAAATAGGAGCTCACTGAAAAGATTATATTTTCGTCTGTTTGTAATGTTCCAGAAATGTGTGGGAAATCATATGTCTTTGCTGAGTTCAAAAGCTACTCACAAAGGTATGATTTATTAAAAAGTGAATTATCTCATTGTATTCTCCAAACTTCATTGCGCTGCAGATGCTTTGTAGTTAGCGTTACTTAGCAGTATGTAGGCTTTAAAATAGAGCCTTAAGAGTCCTTATCTTTTTATCTTTTTAGCTTGCTTAGCATCATTATACTGCTTTTTTTAGATTTTACTGTGAATCATTGTGAGATTTTTTTTTGTCCCCTTATATAGGGCCAAGCAATGCAGAATTTGTCCTTAATCAGTCACAGTCCTGGTGGATGCTGATGAGACAAACTGCCCTTGGGGGCCAGGGAGAGAGAAGCCCAGGGCTTTCTGTGACTGAGCCACTGCGTGTTACAGGCCTGTAAAAAAGGAGGGTGGACAGAAGAGAGGGAGGCTTTAAGAGGCTTTAAGCAGTCCAGAAGCAGCTTGTTTTGAAGGATGGATCAGTGCTAGGAGCTAGTCACAGCTGAACAAGTTGTCACATCTTGTTGGATCCTCAGTATGTGCAAAGTATGTGCTCTTGCGCCTTCTTCTACTTCTCTGTCTCTCTTCTGCAAAGTAAAAATTCATTTGTATTCCTTTTTTAAGTAATTGATCAAGAAGGTAGCATGAATGAAAAAAATAACAGTCACAGAATGTCAGGGGTTGGAAGGGACCTCGAAAGATCATCTAGTCCAACCCTCCTGCCAGAGCAGGATCATCTACAGTAGGTCACACAGGAATGTGTCCAGGCTTGTGGGTGTTGTAGTTGGCAAGGAACTGTGATTCAAATAATAATTCAGAAACATTATTTTAAATAATAAATAAATTTAAAAATTATGTAGTGCGTAGCATGAGTACTGATGCCAAGGACTTGACCACAAGACGTGTATGTAGCACTTAGGGAGTTAAAGAAGCAGTCAGTCCTTTCACAGTATGTTACAATTGTGTCTGAAGGTAGCCTGGTTTCTACAGTCTGTGCCCTAATTCCTAGTCTGTTGGTCTTAAACATGGGAGGAGACTCCATCTCTGTAGAATTAATGAGCTCTAGCATACATTTCTTCCTAACATTTACTCCAGCTTTTCCTAATCACGAGCTGTAAGTCTTATCTTTTTCAGTTGTAAGGAAACATAGATTCTGCACATGTTGGCTCTCATTTCTTTAATTCTTCCTTATTTGATATAAACACCAGCAGAACTGCACACCTACGTACTTGCAAGTTACCTTGACAACACCTTAGGAATATTCCTCCATGCCTCTGCACTGTAAAGCTGCAGTAAAGCTGTAATCACCACTGGGTTTTTGATAGAAATTATTAATCATTTTGTGCCAGCTGTGTCTCATTGTTTTATTGGCATGGAAGAATATCTTGTTCAGTTTCTGTTAGTTCCGTAATCTTATGTCGTGACTCTTGAGTCTTCCTAGCCCAGCACATATCTACAATGTCCATCAGGGTTTTCTCTGCCTTTCCTGAGGACTGATTCACTGATTCACATTCATGGAGCTTGGAGTAATTCTTCATCCACTGTGCTTCTTTCTCCTGGTCCATTATTACTGTTTTATTTTCTCTCCAGCTTGCTTCTACTGTAATTTGGTTATTATTGTGAGAAGGATGTGTTTCTCCAGCAGTATACACAGTTTCTCTGTAATTCTGTGTGCCATTCTAGTAGAAGACCTACCCTGACTACTTTCTCAGTGGTCACAGTCATGGTCCAATTCTGTATTCTCTCTCTCTCCTGTTGCTTGTTCAAGTAGATCTCTAATATTTCTTTCAACACCAGGCTTGTCAGGTGCTAAAATAGAGGCAACCAAGGTTGCACCAGTATCAAATATTGTTCTTCATAATTTAAGGTTTTTACACCTGTATCTTGCTGTCTTCTTATTAATACTAGGACAGTACGGAACATAACAGTTTGAACGTTTATCTGGCCCTCCTAAGATGATTGTTTTTTGCATTTATCTGCTCTATTTCTGATATATTTTCTGGGGTTCCTTTGCAAGTTTTTTCCTGTCTGGTGTTTTTCCTTCTGTATTCTAAAAATATTCTTGGCTGCTAAACAAAATTACATGAGCTACAAAGATATATTTCCCCTCCTTAGCTCTATTGAGTAATCCAAATGTCTGATGTGATTTGCCTCAAGTAGTCCAAGGATATTCGTTACATGGATGAAGCCAAGCAAGAATATTTCAGTTTTAAGTGACATAAATAATAAAGTGATACAATAAAAGTAATTTTTACATTATAAGCACATGAAACTTTGAAGCTTATAGCATGGTTCTTCCTGAGCTGCAAG